ATCTATAGGGGAGAAGTAGTCCAAGTATAAATGAGGTCTTACAGATGTTTCTAAAGCCATTGTAGTAGATGGCACATCTGTGAGAGCTGTGGGAGTGGTCCGACCAATTTTTTTCTCTAATAGTTGTGATTTTATTTGTAAAGAAGCTCATGAAGTCATTGCTGCTGAGATCTAAGGGAATGTTAAGCTCAACAGCACTGTGGCTCTTTGTCAGCCTGGCTACAGTGCTGAAAAGAAACCTGGGGTTGTTCTTATTTTCCTCAATCAGTGATGAATAAAATGCGGTTCTGGCACTATGAAGGGCTTTCTTATATGTTATTAAACTATCTTTCCAGGCTATGAAAAACTCTTCTGACTTAGTGGAGCGCCACCTCCTTTCCATTTCTCGTGATGCCTGCTTTAGGGAGCGGAGCTGCGAGCTGTACCACGAGGCTAGCCTCCTCTGTTTCACTACCTTCTTTTTCAGAGGGGCAATGGTATCAAGTGTATTACACAACAAGGCTGCAGTACTATCAACAATATATCACCATACTAGTGGTTTCTAGTCAACAGGATGGCCTTTGTTTGTGCCCATGCAGTGGTGTCCATGAAATTATTGAAACTGCATTCTACAATAAATACTAATCTGGTCATGATGATCCTTATCTCTGGGCTTGTGGGAAGGATAAGTAAAAAATAACATTTTAAGCAGGATGCAAGGATGAGTGAGTGCTTAGAAAGCAGAACAGTGTGTCCTAATTGTCTGGACCGCTGTACAGTTTAGATCATCCCTTGTAAAAAGCTATAAAGAGAGAGCACAAGTCCTTGTCTGGCAGTTGTTCCTAGGACAGCTTGATTTATGCATGTAACCTGCATCTGCTGTAAGAACAAATCTGTGTGAACTGACCTGATACCATCTCTGAGTTCTTTCTCGTCATAGTGTGTGTGATTATCGCAGGGTTGTGGTGCCCTGTCACTTTATTAAAATAAAGTAATCACTGATTGTTTAAGCCTTCAGAGAATTAAAAAAGTACCCCAAAAAAATCCACCACACCTGATATCGAGGATCATCAGGGTGAACAACTACAGCCACATCTCCCAGCATAGTCTCAGGACGAGTGGTGGACACTTCCAGCTTTCCGTCTAAGGTACAGAGAAAATGGAATGCAAAATATAGAATAAAAGAGAACAAGGCCAAACCCATCATACTAATTATCATATTTCCACACAAGAACAAATACTCACCGTGGTCCTCTATAGGGTACGCAAAGGTAAACATCGTCCCAAACTCTACTTTGTTTTCATAACCCGGAACAGACAACATGGTCTGCCCAGACAGCTCCTTTGAGTCAACCTGACAACAAGACCACAACCTTAAAGTCAACATACATACGGTACATGATTCTTTACAACTTTAGCATTACAGAAAAGAAATATACAACAAATTTAATACTGAACCTAATACATGCAGTAGGTGGACAAAATCAGAGAAATGCTATGGGCTATGAATTTGTTTTAAGAGGGTCCCTCAGAAACAGATGACATAATCCTGCTCTTAGTAAATCCAGTCATGTTAGTCACGTTCATCAGGGTGTTTCAGTCATGTTCCCTGGGGCGTCATTCTCTGTGGCTCAGGGTTACCAGCCCATAATGCTGGTATGGCACTGTGGTATGGCACTGCCACTCCCCACCGTAAACAGTATATGCCAACCTTTCACTCTTACAGTAGGGATGTGGCGGCAACTGAAATGTTACATCTCCTTGACAAGTGAGTAAATTTTACCCTAAGATTAGGATGAAAAAGACACCAGGTGGACATTGGGTAAAGATTTTTGTTATCACTTGAAAAGAAGGATTTAATGATAGTTTCTCTCCACTGGTGTCTACATAGAAAAGAACTGACAGACTGACCTAAACTCTCTGATGCTGGAGGCACAAAATATAACACAGTAACAAGCTGCTTAGGGCTGACATAGTTTTATCAATTGTAGACAAGAAATAAAATTATTGTCTCTACATGCTAGTTGACAGTTTGTGCAGCTTTACAAAAAACAACATGGGGGAAAACTCCAGGTGCACGACAGACTGACTTGATGAAACGCTTTAAAACTTTTGTTGGTAATAAAATCTAAAAAAGATGGTAATTTTAATGTTAAACCCCACATTTAAATTTTAAATTTACACTAATAACTGCTAATAATAAATATACGACCCCCCACCCCAAGTATGAGGAAAGTCTTCATTGGCTAGAATGATGAGCATGCAGTAGCCTGGAGGAGCAACCACCAGAACCCGCTGAAAAGGAAGAGCCTTATTTGAAAGTTATACATACATGATATCCATTATTTTGTCCATGTTGTTGTACTGTCTAATCATGTGAAGCTGTGTCACCTCTATGTCAGAGATGGAAGACTCCAGAGCACAGCTCCAGTTGACCAGTGCCTCCGAGCGATAAATCTGACCAGAGTCACACAGTCTGACAAAGGCCTCGGCCACAGCCTTGGTAAAGCCCTGAAACAACATAAAACCTCAGAGTACACAACATTCACCGTTCTTTTCTCATTTTTGTCTCTAGAAGACAGCACTAAGTGCATCCATAGACTGAGCACTCCTCCAACAATTTCATCACAATTTTTTTTCCAAGATATGAGTGTGAAGGTACTTTGCATCTTTTTAATGAAATTAATAATTAAATTTGTAATTAAACACAAGCAGGCATATTCTTGCATCCTAAAAACATATGACTGCAAATCAGAAAGTTTTGCTTACAAGTCAGAATTTTGCAACTTAAATCCTTTTGCAAAAGTCAAAAACCTTTGCAGCTCAAATTTTGGTTGCACTTCATATTACAATAAAGTGGAAGGGATGTGAAGTAGAGCACACTGGCAAGCAGTAACATCAACTAGACTCCATGTGACAACATAAGACAGGAAATGAAGCTAATGGCATTACTAAGGGTGCGGATGGCTAATGAGTAAAAAGTTAAATATTCATGTGACTAATACAGTATTTCAATAATCTATTTTGCATTAGATTACGCACATCAATGGTACTGATCAGAAATGCTGTGCAACCAAATGGCATGCAACATCAACCAGGGACAAATAACCAAACAATAGGAGCCGATATTTATTACAGGTTGACAAGCCTGAACTTGCAGTTAACATATTAGATGCCTAACTTGGTAGCTAAATGTAAACAAAGTGGTTTATCAATTGCAGAGTAACTGATTCCAGACCTGTACTATGAAGAAAAACTGTATCAGAAACAACTTTTCATATTACAATCCACAAACATAAAGTAGCTAAAGTAGCAGTGTTAAAATTTATAAAGAAAAGTTCAGCTGTTCAGTTTTCTTTGTATTATACTGTATTTCTAATTTCCTCTTTTCTCTAGACCAGGGGTGTCACAAGACGTCACACACTTTCATCATGCAGCTCTTCAGAAACTCTCCCTCGGTACATGGCCAGGCTGATTTGGCTATCTCCTCTGCCGCAATAAAACTTGCTTTCACAGCAGCGTCACTGTGTGATTTCACTTTGGTGAAAACGTCTGCTGTGATGTCAGATTCCTCTTCAACTCCCCTACCTTCTGTAGCTTCTGCTCTGCATTCACATTTTTCAGCTTGTCCTGATGTTTTTTCTTGTAGTGCCATCTTAGGTTATATTCCTTAATTACAGCCACATTAGCTCCACAAATAAGACACACGGGTTTACTGACAATATCAGTAAACATATACTAAGCCTCCCACCGATTTTGAAAGGCTCTGTTTTCAGAATCAACTTTTTTCTTGGCCGTTGTTAGGGGCTAGCTTTGACTTGAAATTAGGGTTGTATATATCAACAGACGATTGATTGATCTGACGTAATTGACGCGGGAATGATCGCAGGTAGCTATCATTTAGTAAGGCAGCTGTTGCGCTGCATTATGGGATTTGTAGTTTGTGTGTTATCGGCGCTTCATATCGCCGGGCCATTAAAAAAAAGATATATAAAATGATCTCGCGGGCCGGATGTAATTGTACACCAGGCCGGATGGCCCACAGGTCTTGAGTTTGACACGTGCTCTAGAACTAGTGAATATCCTTGCTGAAAGTATGAGGTCAGAATTCAAACTGCTCAATAAACACAATTCAAGTCAGTCTTTGAAGCATCTTTAAAGGTCAGAGTCCTCCAACCGGTCATTAGCTCGTCACAGCTGCCGCTGAACGTCAACTGGCCAACAGAGATGCATTAATACACCTCTTTCCTCCCACCATATTGTAATCTGAAGCACAACTAAAACAAATTTTAACTCGCAAAATTATTTAACTTGCAAAAATATGTTACTTGCAATAAAAACTATTTGATGCAAAAATAGCTGCTTGTTTTTAATTACAAAGTTGATTTTTGATTGCATTACTTGTATTGAAAACATCAATAGGCAATCACATTAAAATCCTACACATACACACAAATATTTTCCAGGTAGCATAATCAGTGAGTAACGTATGTGACTGCAGTCTTACTGGATCCATAGTGAAACAGGCTCTGCTCCAGTCCAGAGACGCTCCAAGCCTCCTCAGTTGGTGGTAGATCTCGTCTCCTTTCCTGGGTCACACAGGGACAAAAAAAACTTAATTCAACTGAGCAAACACTGTATCATCCAAAAACTAGATGAGAATGTGAAGACTCACTGATTCTTCCATTTCCACATCTCCAGTAGAAACTCTTCCCTGGTTAAGTCCTGTCTGCGCTTCCTTTCTTCCCTGAGCAGTCTCCTCTCCACCACTGTCTAACATGCACAAAAACAACTGAGATTATAAGGAGTGGTACTTCACATGTAAAAGTGATTGAATGTCTACTGTAGTTCTGGATGAAGCTTTTCAAAGTGTGAAGATGAAAAAATACCCTCTGTTGATTTGCAGGGTTCAATTTGCATTGTGGCTTTCATCAGATTATTAAATCTTATTTCACGGCCAATTCCACAACTTACACAAAGAGAACAAGAGAGGGAGAGTGTTTTGCATTCATGGCAAAAACCCCTCTATTTCAGTCAGATAATTGTTGCAATCACAAATTCTTTGGTATTCTCATGTTTATTTCTTTAGTTTGCATTGGAACAACAAAAACCTGAGAAAAAGCCAAATCTGATCCAGTCCTCACAGAACTGTAAAAATGGACTGGACAGAATTATTGACACCCTCTACTTAATATTTGGTAGCACACCCTTTGGATAAAATAACTGAAATCAGTCACTTCCTGTAACCATCAGTGAGTTTCTTCCACCTCTCTACTTGACTTGTGGACCACCCTTCTTCTGCCAATTGCTCCAGGTCTCAGGTTTGAAGGGTTCCTTCTCCCAGCTGCTGTTCTGAGATCTCTTCACAGCTGCTCGATGGGGTTTAGATCTGGACTCATTGCTGGCCACTTCACAACTCTCCAGCTCATTGTCTGAAACCATTTCTGGTGCTTTGTGAAGTCTGCTTTGGGTCATTGTCCTGCTGTAAGACCCAACTTTCTGACACTGGGCCCCACATTGTGTCCCAGAATTCATTGGTAGTCTTCAGATTTCACAGCGCCAGACACACAGTCAAGACATCCAGTACCTGAAGCAGCAAAGCAACCCCAAAACCTCAGTTAACCTCCAAAGTGTTTGACTGTAGGGACGTGTTCTTTTCTTTGAAGGCCTCATTTAATTTTCTGAAAACAGTAGAATGATGTGCACGACCAAAAAGCTCTATTTCAGTCTCATCTGTCCACAGGACATTCTCCCAGAAGGACTGTGGCTTCCTCAGGACAGTTTTGGCAAACTGCACTCTGGCTTTTCTATGTTTCTGTGTCAGTAGTGGGCCCCTGGGTCTCCTAGCATAGTGTCCCTTGTCTGGAAGCTGATCGAGGTTCTTTATCTACTATTGGAACAATCCTTCATTGTAATCTGTCATCTGTTTTTCTCTTTCGTCCATGTCCAGGGAGATTACAGCACCATGGGCTGTAAATGTCTCGACAGCGTTGTCACAGTGGACACAGGAACAACCAGATCTCTGGACATGGACGCTGAGCCTTGAAACTGTCCAGGCTTTTTGTGGTTCTCAGATCCTCAGACAATTCTTTGCTCTTCTTTCTTTACTCCATGCTCAGAGTGGTCCACATGACACAAAGATTGAGTCAACGTTTCTCAGTTTTAACTGGTTGCCAGTGTGATTTCCATGTTGTCAGCACCTGTTGGTTGCTAAGTAGTGCCTTATCTGACAGAAATACAGGGGTGCCAATAGTTTTGGCCGTGACTAACTGTTCTGGTATTAATTTGAACTTTACTCTCATGTAGCAAACTAAAGAATAAAAGAATATAATCTAAATGTTTAAGCCTAACACCAATATGCTCATTTGTAATGTACATTAAAATTGTTATTGCTATAATCATTCTTGCTATCCATACCAACTGTAAAAACATGTCCCTTTGCAGTTCCAATGTAAGGGATGACAGACAAAATACCAGGATCTCATTGAAGTACAAAAATGTCTCCCAAAGAAAGCTGAAGCTAATATGAAACTTCAGCAGTCTGAGTCGGTCCAATCAGCTGGATCTTTCTACAGTTATTCTTTATAGTATGAATATTGTGGCTCCACAAACGGTTTCCTCACTGAATAGCAGTGTTGTATAAAGTACTCGAATGCCACACTTAAGCAGAAGTAAAGATACCAGCCATCTTAAGGTAGCAGTAATTTGTCCTACTGTTTTCGAAGAGTCCTCGTGCTCCGGTTATGCCACTGCACTCAGCAGCCGCTCCATGTCGATGCTCCTCTAGCCGCAATGAACAGTTAGTACAGCATGCATAGCAGTGTTGTATAAAGTACTCGAACGCCACACTTAAGTAGAAGTACAGATTTTTTTGTTAGAAAATGACTCACAGTGCCTTCTTTTCTTAAAATTCTTAACTTAAATTCCCCATGACAAGAAAAACCAAAAGCCTACTGTACATAAAAAAAATCAGCCTTGAAAACTAAATTGTCCTGTACTGAACTGTAGTGTAACACTGCTTCCATAACATGCACCTTTCTAATGAAGACCTATGACTGGCATTTAGCGGTCACACACTCATTTCCCATTCAGCAAATTCAAAAGAAAGTACTTCCTTCCCTTTTGTTCTCTCACTGTCCATTTGTCCAATCCCTTCTTCTTTTCCTAAACCCAGCCAGCCCTTCCTTTTAGTCCTTCATTCTTCATGTCCTCCCCCACATTAACAACACAGTCTTTACTTGAAGCTGAAAAATTTGCTGTTTAACCTCAAAAGAAGTTGGTTTTCAAAATTACAAAAATCCAACCTCGCTCTTCTGGGGCTGAAGACAAGACCTGCACAGCTAAACAGCCTTTCACACGCTGCTGAGGCAGGCAGAGGTGTGTTCAGCTTCACAGACAACTTGCAGACAGCTGGGAAGGATTTCAGCAAGTCCATGTGATCTGCTACACAAGCCAAGTATGCATCCAGTTGTTCGTTTAATGGCAGCTTGACTCTGTCAGGTTTGGTGATGTCAAGTTTGGTGGTCAGCAGGTTAATGTTGTTGGAAGTAACCACTCCATCTGGATATTTGCTTGCAAGATGTTGGTGGCTTGGGAAACTGGACTCGTGACAGCCGCATACTCTGTGAGGAATGTGATTTCAGCTGGATTGAATCTGCAATGAAAATCAATACTGTTTTACAACATAACCATTTCATCTGACTTAACACAACACAATGTAAAACAGTAATTTGTGCTCAAGAAAGTGCAGTAAAACACATCCAAGTTTTAAAGACATTTAAAATATAAGACATACATAATTCTTACTTACATTGGAACATTTAAGTCTGTGCAGATGACTAATGGCTGATTGTCTCTAATTATCCTGAGAAGTCTTTCCACTGCCAGAAGCAAGGAGTTCCACCTTGTGGCATTTGGGCACAGCAGCTGAAGAAAGCAAACATCTTCAACTTTTTCAGCTGTGAGTGTGGATCTTCCACATTTGCTTCACATGGCATTGCACTTGGCAAATGTTGATTGATACAGTTTCTTGTATCCATTACTCGATACTGCTTTTGCTGCATCAACAGTAGCTATGAGGTTCAGTAAATGACAAGCACAGTGCTGGTGCTTCGGGAGCTGATACTCAAAGCCATCATCTTCATGTAGAAGTGCTGACACTTCCACAAACTCCACATCATCAGCCCCCTCTTGATCCTCTTCTTCCTCTGACCTGTCATCATCAGCACAAACTCCACTGTTATTCTCATCTTCCCCAAACACTTGGAAAGCTTTTAGGAAGTTTGTGCCATTGTTTGTTGTTGTTCTGACAATCTTCCCCCGAATTTCAAACTCGGAATGAATGTCAAACCCTTGTGTTCCGTTTACATGTACTATATGGACTTTCTATTCGGGTCCCCTGGGCCCGGAGCATCTTTATGGCTTTGTAAGTCCACATCATCAAAGAATTTGTAATCTGAAACAATGTAAAAACCTACTAATAATAATCAACAAATGTTAATATTTGCCCTTTACTTTTGTTAGATTTTATTGCAAAAGGTTTAAAACTATGTTATTGTAACATTTGGCCAGACGAAAAAATAATACATTTACAAATAAAGTAAGATTTTTCACACCTGCTCATTTCTATTTGAATCACACTCATTTCAGGGCAAGGGCGACATGCAGGAAAGTCTGCCAAACAAGCACAAGCTGAGCACTCAGTAGCTATTTACACAACAAAGCCCCCATTTGCATATGAATACAGCAATCCTATGCAATCACATGCGGGCAAGTGTCTTCGTGTGTGTGTATTGCAACGTGTTGCACTGGGTGCATCTAACTCTCTCAGAGCACAGACTGTAATTTGCATAGGAATGACAAACCAGTGACATATGTGACGTATGTGCCGTTTCTGAGACGCACGTCGCTGACGCACTCCTCCTCTATATCCGCGTTAGCCTGGCTCACCCTGGGGTAACCACAACGTAATAAATTACAAATGTGAACCAGTATTTAACACTCTCAGAGCACATTTTATCAAACAAACTGTATTTTGCATATGAATTACAAACCTGTGACCAGTTGGTTGTGCCGTTTCTGAGACGCGTGTCGCTGACGCACTCCTCCTCTATATCCGCGTTAGCTTGGCTCACCCTGGGGCAATCACAATGTAATAAATTACAAATGTGAACCAGTATCTAACTCTCCCAGAGCACATTTTATCAAACAGACTGTATTTTGCATAGGAATTACAAACCTGCGACCGGTTGTGCCGTTTCTGAGACGCGCGTCGCTGACGCACTGCTCCGCTCGTTTTACGCATTTGTTAGGGTGCGCTCAAACACAGAGTGAGCGAGCAGATAAAAAGTGGACCCAGGTGGCTGGCTTCAGTGCAAGCAGTGAGGATTATTTATAGTGAATGTAGTGACATATATACAGGAGGAGTA